ACGGAGAGAAGCTTCGATCAGACACGGGAGCTCTGCACCGTGAGATGAACTTCTTAAAACACGAACAGGTGGGAACGGGCTGCATCACGGCCAATGGTCTTCACTTTCCCAAGCCAGGATACTTGGGATGGTACGGGTTTAATGGGATAATTGATGAGTTTAGAGTGTGGAATGGAGTGTTGACGCAAGATGAGGTAACTAAGCTGTCAAGTGGAGAGAATGGAGTGGAAATGCAGTTGTTGGCGTCGTTGAAAGTGACTGGACGTGTACCACGAGGATCCAGATGGAATGTCAGCGTTGTTCGCTGTTCCAGTCCGATAGAAAGTCGACAACTACAGATGGTGAGAAGCAGAAATCGACTTGTTATTGTGCGACCGGAGCAATTACCGGCTGATACGATCAAGACGCTGTGTAGTTACTTGACTGGGTTTGATGCATTCAACTTGTCCCACACGAACTTTTGGTGGATGCAGTACTTTTCAGATGGATCAGTCTGGAAACGAGTCTTTGATGCTACGACTGACACGCATATTGACCAGCCAGATCAGCCGTGGAAGAAGCAGTACATGACGTCGCGAGCGATGTTGTTCAGCGGTCTGCAAAATAGTGACGACCGACAGATTGATTCGTATGCGTATTTTACATACGCTGGTCATACGCAACGACGACATTCTCGGTTCCGCTTAAACTTTCTAGGCAGTGAGAGCTTCAGCTTTGATGTTTGGTTCAGTCTGCTGCCAGCCTCGGATAATACGTCGTTTGGCGGGATTATCTATGGAGCTCAGTCGTCAAGTCGGGAGAGCCGAAGCTGGCCATTTTACCACCAGCAGTTTGTGCTGGTAAGCTCAACTGGAGATCTGTACTGCTCGGTATTGGATACTCGACCTGTGGTGGCGAGTAATTTGGAATCAGATCGCTGGTATCATCTCGCGCTGACGTACGACAACGATACACAGATTCAAGATGTGTATCTGGATGGCGTAAAGATCCATTCAAGTGCGGGTTCACTTCATCGCGA